GAGAGAGAGAGAGAGAGAGAGAGAGAGAGAGAGAGAGAGAAAGAGAGAGGTGGGAAACGTTGCACACCGTCGTGATGCTCGTTGTTCTTTCTGCTTGGTGATAGAAATTGGGATAGGGTTACTTGTTACAACGGTGAATAGATGGCAACACAAACTTCAAGGCATGCACATACACACGCACATATAGATAGATACGGAATGTAGAACCGGTGATTAGTAGGTGAAAGTAGAACGGAACTGTTTCTCAAACTCTCAAAGGCACCATCTTTTTTATGTTGTGTCTACCAAATATGCACGCAGTGCCACACACACACACACGCAAGGGTAAAACTGTTGTTTTGACAGATTGTATGTGACTACTTCGTGCTTCGAAGGAGTTTGTTCCCTGTCTGTCAGATGCATTTGCAAAGAAAAAAGGCCATCTAGGTTGCATGGCTAGCATGTCATTCGCTCTGTGTTGTATGCTTTGTTCAGTCATGTGCTTAGCATCCGATACGTAGTATGTGATCGGGAAAACCATATAGATGAGGGAGGTACATGGCAAAAGTGTCCTGGAGGGCTACTTGTTAAATCCTAAGACTTCATGTTTTAGAGCAAAGGCCTCATTTTGACCAAAGATTGAACCTTTGGCCACATTTTGGCTGAAGATTGAACCTTTGGCCTCTTTTTGGCCAGAACAATTCCACCTTCGGCCTCCATTATTCCTTGGACTCCTTGTAGGACCCAAACTAGACCGGATGTAATTCAAGATGTCTTAGCCAGAGTCTGGCGTGGAAAAAATAAATAAATAAATTGTGCTCGCATTGTACGCGAGTAAAAAACCGGCGTTGTACTCGTTTGTACTCAACCAGTGAACCAATCGTTCGTAGGTTTTAAGAGCCCAAAAAAAAAAAAAAAAAAAAAAAAAAAAAAAATGGAGCGATGGCTATCGTCGTCTACTACCCGGAAGACAAAAAGTGGACTTTTTTTAATGTCTTTTGTTTGTTTTCTTTGAATGGGGATCTTCTTTGCTCCGGGACGGCCGATTCGACCTTGCAGTCGGTGCAGAAACTGGGTACCGACAAATGGCCTGAAGCGGGCCAAAAAGCCCTGTGGAGAGGGTAGGGGGGGACAGCTTGAGAGCATGCACGCGAAAGTTGGCTGCACACACACACACACACACACACACACAGAGAG